ATGTCACATCTGGGCAAAATGAGATTTATCTGAAGACATTTTGCTGCACTATTTGAGAGACACTGTAACAAAACGACAGTGCTGTGGGATTCTAGGATTCCCTCTGTCCAGGTAACCGGTATATGGATATGAGGAGGTGCACAGCCATAGGAATGGTGTTTCCTCATATTGCTTTCTGGGGTGGCATTATTTTTCCCCATATCCAATTGGAATATTCAGCTGTCTACAATGCCTTTAGTTGTTAAATAATAATAATAATTTTAGAATAATTTTAGAAGTGTTTTCTTTTATCCCATGATCTTTTGATTGAGAAAGATAAATTTAGAGACTTTATCTATGTCGATTAAGGTCACTGCAGACAAATTGAACTGGGCAGATCAGGGAAGAAAGAAAACCCACATGATTTGCTGTTATCGTAAGAAATCAATTTATCCTCAATGCTTGGACATGACATTTTTGACACATGTAGAAAGACACTTCCTAGATTGAGAAAAGTAAGGTAATTAAAGTTTGTCTTGTATTCCTTATCATGTAATATAAAATCCAAAATATTCATAAACCAAGTCAGAATGAATTTCTTCATGACATCTCAAGTGATTTAACAAACACTGATGACAGAAGTTTCACAGAGCTGGAGGACTGTAGCTTATTTTCAATAAAGTAGTCGTGTTACCATCTAGTGTCTTAAACCTTCTGCTCATTTTTGCAGCTTATTTCTTTCCTTTCAGGCGGTGGAGGAAGCTACTCATGTCTTAACATGACACTTGTTCTGTTGATGATCACATTCCCATGAGCTTAAAGTCAAAACATTTCACTATTTCAGTTTCCATCAGCCACAGTTTGTTGTCAGATTGGTCTTTATAATATCATATATGAAGGAGGTATCTGTAGCACAACTGCATGGACAGATTAGGCATAGAAATATATGCACATTTTTGTGTTTGTAATTACATTTTTTTTGAGCAATCAAACCCTAACAAAAAAAAATCCAGTGAAAGGAACCTTTTTGGCTTATCTCATAGTAGAAAAATAAAGTCTACATTTGAGAATGAGAAGCAAATAAATATGCAGACACTAAATTTCAATACTCTTCTGTGGCTGCATTTTTAAAGCAGCGAGATAACTGTATGTCCAATAATAAGAGTGGTAATCTGGATAATGACTTCTCATGATTCATGTAGTAATCTCATTGTCCACTGGGATCATTAAAAACATCCTGCCTTCCTCTCATTTACATCATGGATATGTGTCCAACTGGCCACTGCTGGAGTCAAGATAGTAGACACCATTAATCCTAATGGTCTGATCTGCTGAGGCCAATTCCTCATTTCTATTTATGAGTTCTTTGTACTGCAGAAAACCACTTGTGCTTTATAACTTACAGAGGAGAGAAAAAGGAAGAGAAAAGAAATTTGACTTAGGATATCCCCTTTAACATATTTCATCAAAAGAACAGATAAAATATTTATTCAGCTACTGTCCTTTGCATTCCCATCAAAGTGAATAGAGAGACATTTAATAACACATGGAAACATTAAAGAAGCTTTTTATCAGAGTGGATGGGAACCTGCTCAGAACAAACATTCTAGCCTAAGGGAAAGTTTTTGATCTGTGAAGCTTAAGATTTCGGTGCTTAAAACACTCTCATATTGGATCATGTGGTCAATTTGCATGAAATAAATGATTTGCTTAAAACTCATAAAACTATAAAATAGAACTTGACAAGTCATTAGCAATAAGTTGTATCGCACTGGTATTATACTAACTAACACAAATGCAATCATTAGAAAACTGCTGCTACAGTAAAGAACAGGAAGATAATGGGGCCAGCCTATACTTTGACCTAGAGGTGTTAGGTCATTGCCCCACACAGTAGACACCACACTGCGGTCCAAATTATTGACTATCTTTCTTCATTACCGATCTACTCGACATTCTGATCCACTGCCCTTTACCATCTTTCACACAAAACCATCAGTCCAAGTTACAAAATTTAGTACTTTTTCCATCTAGGGGTAGGTGATGTAGCTTAGACAAAAACAAAGAAAAGAAAAAAAGAACTAAGCTTTAGTCTGGGATTTTAATCAAAACTAGAAGAAAGAATAAGATTATTTACTTGTTCTTCATTAATTTTTCTAATGTTTTTGTTTTCATTCTGAACTAGGAATTCAATTAATGAAGTTTCTATGTGTTGACAGAGGTCATTGATATAATTTTTGTATTCCCATTGGCAACAAATGGTATTCAGCATCTCATTTCCTCAGTTTGCAATTTCAAAATGATTTCTTAAAAGATGTAAGCTGTTTAGAAAATCATGGGTAGATATTTGGATTCCTGAAGTTTTCCTACCATTCATTTTAAGGCTAGAGTCATTGTCTGATAAGATTGGCAAACATCCACTTGTGGTTATTGCCAAGACAAGAAATAGGTGTAAAACCTAAGATTTTTACCATTTGTTGAACAGTGCCTTTAATGCACTTTTGTCAGTGTCAGCGTGTTGTCAGAGGCTCAGACATGTCAGTCAAGTTTGAATGGCTCCATGTGTGATATTTGGTACAAACTACCAGATGAACTAAACTACATACTTGCAAATTATTTTGCCTGCAATCGTACATATGCTGATGAGATGCAATAACATTAAGACCATGGTGTTCAAATCCCACTGTTGTCTTCAAGATGATGTTTATTTCATGCATTCCCCATGAGTATACGTACCTTTGTAAAACGAGAGGGGTAAGTATGATACTGCAGTTTCCAAGGCTCATTAAGATCTTAATTTCTGTTCTGAGTTTATCACCAAGCATGAGGCATGGCTTTGCATTTCTGGTGTGGAGCTGGAGCTGAGATTTAACAGCCTGATTGCATGTGGACTCTGGTGCAGTAACGGTTTGCTGGTGCATATGACTGAATCGATACCATATTTAACTACTTAATTTTATTTCACAGGTCACAACAAGTTGTGCTTTCCAAAAGACAATTACATGATAGCTACTTAGCATAAATGTCAGACAAAGAAATTAAAAGAAAATGGGGAAACTGCAAACAGGTGTTATAAACCAGAAAATAAGCATAATCAATATAAGTGCGATAGATCTGTTTGTGAATCTTTGGGGAAATGGAGTGAAAAATACTTTGGATAAAGCATGATATCTGCACATAGGCTAAGACAGATAGAAAGTCCCAGTTCAATATCATGAAAGAGTACAGTTCAACACTCTGAGAGAGTAGAGGTGTTTCAATCAGCAGCTGAAATCAGAACCTCATCAGTGTTTACAGTGCATGACCTGGTTGGTATTGGCTAATTAAGAATAATCCTTAAGGATGAGAAACATAATAATTTTACTGGTGTTTCAAGAAGTTCATAATAAGTGGACTTGAGGGAACAATTGAAGATCATTTGTTTGACAGAAGAAAATAAGCTTTTACTGTAGAAGGGGCATCATGGATATGTAACCTTATTATCACAGTGTTATTCTTCAGGGTTTTTTAGTCTAATGAAGAAAACCAGAACTGTAGCATTTCAGCATATGCTTGAGTCACTTGGACTTCATTGATTTAAAATGTGTCTCTTAAAAATAAATTACTTTATTTATTGAGAAATACATTTCCTTCCTATAGTGTCTGGAAGATAATAGCTTTTATGCACAGTGTAATATTTTAAACATGACCAATTCTGAAGGGAGCTCAGCATCCCAGTGAATCTGCTCAGCCTGTTAGTGAATACATTTTCTAAGCTTCTTAATCTGTATACTCATGTGCAGGACACAAGGAAATGGCACCACCTCGTCTTCTTCTAGAACATAGTCCAAGAAAGAAACCAGCAGCTATTGAAGGCAAGTTTGAGTCTTTTCCTCCTTTATTGGCTTCTACTCATTAACTTGACTCTCTGTTCTAATGGACTTTGTTTATAAATATAACTAATATTACAAAACTGATCAAAAAATTAGGTCTGGAACATCAATGGCACAATCATATTTGCATGACAAGACCTAAGTATTCCTTATAGCAGTCCCACAGATGGCTCAGAGGATTTTCTGAGTGAAATAGATTGCAGGATCAAGGCCCAATCTGCAAAATGCTTTGGGTGCTGTTCAGACGTAAGTTGCCATCTAACTGTAAACATAATCAACATTATCCTCTTAATATACTTTAGATTAGTCTTTCAGCTATTGTTATGCAGTAATGTTTCTATGTATTATCTGCAATAATGAACATAATATTTCTGGTTCTGTGTTTATCAACCTATTGTTAAAACCACTGAAAGAAAAATACAAAGTCAGATCTTACCTTCTGAAGATTAAAACATAACTCCTGCAATTGAATTATATTGTTTACAGTCTAATCATATCAGTGAAATGGTGACTATATTTGGTGTCTTAGAACTACTACTGCAATATACATTCTTGGTCTCTACACCATACAATTTGATAGTACAAAACACGTGAGTCTTTTTGTGTAATTACATAGCAGTTTTTATATAATACTTTGGGGTCAGTCAGTCACACCATGGCACTTGCTAATCTCTCTCGTAGAGGTTTTAGTTCTATGTTATCCAGAAAGCTATGCAATCTAAGAGAAAAACATATGGAATGGAAGCAGAATAAGTAACAAGAGCTACAAGATTTGTCTGCATTTGGAAATGGAAAAAGAAAGTGAGATTTCGGCAGGACCTATGACTAAAACAGAGAGTTACATTAATTAGATATTTCTGCAATGTGATTATTGTGAATCAGAATGTTTGGAAAAAAACAGTTACGTGACTTATTATCTCTTTCCCCAAAATCTCTTTTACATCGAATGAATGTTTCTTTATAAACACACTGTTTAAAGGAGTAAAAAACTGTGGTTATTGTGACACAATATAGTTTACAAATAGATTTGCAGCCCTGCTTATTTTAGGGAAATGTTAGAATCTACTTGTCAGAAAAAAGAAGTCCCTGCTATGTTAAACACTGTTATCCACCAATTAGACATAACAGAAAAAAGACATAATAGAAAAAGACTGCTGCATTTGCTGAATGATAAACTTAATCTTTAAATGTAACTGTTAGACAACATGAACCAGCATCGAATTAACATTAAGTTCTTGATTTTCAAAATCATGAGGAGCATGCAATTACTGCAATTGCACATGGAAATGACTATTTATGACCAGTTACACATTTGTGTGTTTCATTAGCTCATTTATGCATGCAATTGAGGTAATTGTGAATGTAAATTAGACACCCATTTGGCAAACAAATTGGGGGGCAGATTATCTTCTCCGAATCGTACAACTAAATTCCCCTTAACGCTCAAGGCCAGTCACTAGGATACAATACTGTTCATGCAAGAGTTTTGGAGAAAATGAAGAAGGAAGGATTACTTTCAAAACGCTGCTGTGAAAAGCTGTTATATTGCATTATTGTGTGTTTTCCGTATATGAGAAAATATGCCACAGTGGCTTCAGGAACCCTAAACCCTGAAGATTTATTTCAACCCTGGGGAAAGTAATTAAGCAATTTGTGGGAATATTTGGCACAAGGTCAGAAGGGAAAGGAGTAGGTAGAGAAATTTAAATCTCTGAAATAGTTGAAGAGACATCTGTCTGTGACTTCTTAATGGCTGGTACATCACTAAATATCACTGATCAGGTGAGGGGACAATTTGAAACATAAGATTCCTCTTATCATAAATATAGTTGAAGATAGTATAGTGAGCTCTCAGAAGAAGGAACAAGTACAAGCATTTGTTAATTGAAAAATGTACTTTACATAACATGAAAGGACTGGCCCAGCCTTTGACAGAAACAACCAGCCCTGAAAAAAAGGTAAAACTATAGGAAATAACAGAATGATTGTCACACAGAAAATTTATGAAACCAATCTATTTTGACTCTAGGCTTTCCAACTGAGTGATAGTCAGACACTAGATACAAAACCAGCTAGTAAAGGCTGAAAAGATTTTCCTCTTTTTCTAGCTTGAGATGTTTTCGCTATTGCCCCATTTTGCCACTGCCTGTTTAGGTAATCTTGGGCCATTCTTGATTTCTGAGGTGGTGAAAATAGTGGTAGTATATGTGCCAGATACTTCTGACATTTTTAGATTATTTGATACTTTCAAATAGCAAGTCTTTACTGGATAGTATCCAATGCCTAGTAGAGACTATGCTCTGTTGAATTCCTGAGGTCTTAGAAATAACAGCACATTGTTATTATGTATTAAATCTCAACCTTTGTCTCCTTGTCATTGCCATTTTCTCTTCCTTCACCTCCACTCTCTTCCTTCACCTTCACAGTAAATCTTTTGGAAAAGGGGTGATTATGTAAGACAATCCCAGTTTGTACACTATATTCTAGTAGTATGCAATAAATTGCATTGAAGTGCGTGCACGTGAACTGAACTTTTCAGATATCTCCTGGTTGGAAAGCAAAATGCTTTGTACTCGTCTGGTCAGAAGGGAAAAGAACAGATCATTGCTCTCCTATTTCATGGTGGTTTGGCTCTTTTCAAGAAGCGTTGCTGTCTTGAGATCTTATCCTCAAAGTTCAATGAAGAATTTGACGTTTCAGGTCACCAACAGAAGAGAATAACAAAACAAAACAAAACGAATCAAAACAGAGCATCCTGCAACAATAAACAAGAGAAAGATGGAAAGGGAATTTGTCAAGAGAAAGACATTGATACATGACTTCTACTTGTGTTCCAAGCTTGGAAACCTTGTTTGGCAAACCATGAAGTAAAATAACTAATTTTAAACTCTTTATCTTATCTTTTTCTGTAACTTTCACAAGGACTTGGAAGCAGCACTCTCAGCTTGGCTGACACTCTGATGATGCCATCTAGGGAGGACACTGGTGCTGGCTGTAATTGAACAGACTGTTCTCCGTGGCTATCTGAAATTTGATTTTAATATGTTTCTTCCTTGACCGTAGTCTTCTTCACCTCTTTTAACTCTAGCTTTCTTGTATTTTGGTATCCACTGACATCCTAAAACTGCTCTGCAGTGTACACTGATTCTCTGTGAATGTCTCTGTCAGATCTGGACTTTTTTGCTCAGCTCACATAGCTTTTAGCTTCCTCCATTTCCCTATTCAACTGAGAAGGACTCTCCTTTCTGGTAGTCCTCCCATGTTACGCTCTCTGCGTGGCAGGATAATCTCTCAGGAAGATGCTGCAGTTAGACAAGAAATGTTGAAAGTAAGCTCAGATGCTTAGTTAGTTATTAGTAAGGCATCATAGTAATTGTTCCAGAATAGCACGTCTTTGCTTTCTCACAAGATCCCAGCACCTTTGTGAGAAGCCTGTATCAATATCCTTCTCTCAGTGGAAGGCATCTCAATACATGTTACGTATGATCTCAACCAGACAGTATGCTTTGTACCACTTGGAAGAATATTCTATCACAAAAAAACTTTGAACAGCATTGTATCTGAGTATCAGTTTCCAGGTTATATTGCCCCAGAAATCTGTGCTTGTATCTTTGTTTGGGAGAGCATTTATCACGAAAGAGTCAACAACATAATTGTTCTGATCTGTTAATGGATCATGATGGGCTCTGAAATATCCCCCTCCTTTGACTGAACTATACTGGCTTTTCATTGCCGTCTTGCTAGTATTTGTGATATTAAATGAGGTAAAAAAGAAAAATTTAAAATCTCTATAATGTATTTGAAGGAGCTCTGAGGAAAAAAAAATATTATCTAGTTCACTGTTTGAATCCTCTAATTACAGATTTTGCAGAATGCAGTAAAGTGAGTTGCTGTGAAACACGTTTAACTTCCTCCAAAACTCCTGCGGAGGCTAAATTGGCATTGAAATAGAAATCTGCATCTATCTTTGTTACTGTGTAGAAAGTACACTATCTGACTATCTTAAGAAGAATTTCCAGTCTATACCTCAGTTCAGGAATATATCATTAAGGGATATAAGCAAGGGTATCTAAATTACTAAAGCCAATACAAATTTTGACAAAGCTCCCTTGATGTATAGAAGTGTATAAATCTTATACAAATCAATCTGCCTCTGTACAGTCTGTCAACAGCCACCTTCTCTTCTGTACACAGATTGTTCTATAAAAATTTTTTTCTTTTGTACTATAAAATCAATTAACCTTAAAAAAAAATCCTTCCAGTGAAAGATAGTGATTCAAGATACAACAGAAACCTTTCAACAATGTAGGATGTTGATGTTTTCTCCAAATTTACAACATTTTTAATAATAGTGACATGATTTGTATATGAAAATCTATTTTCTGATAAATTCTAATCCAAGGGAGAATAAAAAGAAATAAGAGAAATGTTTCTGTCAGAAATATCACAGTACAATGAGCTAGGTTTTAATCTAGTTTATCAGAAGTAGTAGTTTAGGTAGCTTTAACAGGGTACTGTATATACAGCATAAACCCAAGTTTTTTTGAGAAATATGAGCCCTACATCTCCATGAGTCTGCACTCAAGACAGTAAAATCTTTGAAATAATACGCGCTAACTTTCAAAGTGAGTTATTTAATGGCTTAGATTAGACATTTAAGCAGTAAACTCTAATGATTTAGCTATGATGAAAAAAGCCTAATTCTTCACTGTTTCAGAAAGCCCTTGACATTTTACTTAATGACATGAGGCTCTTCTGTACTACTTTTATTCTAGCATAAGACGGAAAAAATTTAACGGACACTTGGAAAAAAGCTTTCTAGGATGTAGAAAAATTATGTACAAAGATACATATATTTTGATTAGACGTATTACTATGTTTTCTCATTATTGTTATTAATAATAAGAATACTCCAATTTACAGTATTAGATTATGTATTTTAAAATAAATATGCACCAAATTCTACCCAATAAAACAAAACC